TCCGGCCATCTGTTCGTGACCTCAAGCTGAAGCGAACTTGGGTTCTGCAGCAGGACAATGATCTAAAACACACCAGCAAGTCCACCTCTGAATGGCTGAAGAAAAACAAAATGAAGACTTTGGAGTGGCCTAGTCAAAGTCCTGACCTGAATCCTTTTGAGATGCTGTGGCATGACCTTAAAAAGGCGGTTCATGCTCGAAAACCCTCCAATGTGGCTGAATTACAACAATTCTGCGTAGATGAGTGGACCAAAATTCCTCCACAGCGCTGTAACAGACTCATTGCAAGTTATCGCAAACGCTTGATTGCAGTTGTTGCTGCTAAGGGTGGCCCAACCAGTTATTAGGTTTAGGGGGCAAACACTTTCACACAGGGCCATGTAGTTTTGGATTTTGTTTTCCCTTAATAATAAAAACCTTGATTTCAAAACTACATGTTGTGTTCACTTGTGTTATCTTTTACTAATATTTAAATTTGTTTGATGATCTGAAACATTAAAGTGTGACAAACATGCAAAAAATAAGAAATCAGGAAGGGGGCCAACACTTTTTCACACCACTGTAGCACTTGTAAATGATTGCTCTTTTGTTGGTTTTGATTGCTTCTATTGTCCTTATTTGTTAGTCGCTTTGGATAAAAGTGTCTGCTAAATAACAAAATTTTAAGATAATGTAAATGTAAATAACAAAACTAATTTTTTTATTTTTATTTTAAAACAAGCCCCAAATCAAATAAATAAGTAACACAAATAAAATAAATCTCTTCATATAAACAAACTAAGGCTTTGTCTGTGCTCTTTCCATTTAATATTAGAGACAACCACTGCATTTTAATCATGATCCAAACAAAGATGCTGCATACATGCAACATGAGCAGTTTTTAATCTAAATTAGATTGTATAATATCGAAATTTGAAGCAAAAACAGAATGGTTTGACTTCAGTTTTGTGAAATTATGCATAAAAAATATCTGCATGAAACTGAAACAGCAAACGAGACGCAGATTCACTCGCTGCCAGCAGGTGGCGCTTAAAGTGTTTCCTTGGTTTCTGCTGTAAACAAAGCAGCGCTGCACTTATGAACTTTAATATGCATTATAAAGAGGCAAGATGAAAAGAAAAAACACCATCGAAAGACAGTAATCCCGATTTGTTTAGCATCTCAACCGATTTGAATCGTAACATATTTAAATCGATTTTCAACCGGCTCGCGGTTAATCGTTACATCCCTATTAGCAACCAAATGTTAGGCTACATCGCGAATATGTAAACGTACGGATTCGTGCCGAGTTAGTACTGTAGTACGTTAGCCCAACGCTGTTTCAGTTTTGCTTTAAAACTAATTTGCTTATAGGTGTGGCGCTTATAATAAATGTTGTGAATAATGAATGCCACTATAATGTTTATAGTGATTATAATGTTTGTAAAGTTTGATTTATCGATATTTAACATTATTTTTGAATGTAGTAATAAAATGTGACCGAAATGTTTGTATGCATTATTTTCGGGGGTTTTTTTCCGTATTCGTCACTCTTGCCTATCAAAATGCTTGCTACGGATGCAAAAATGCAGAAAATCGAACCTGATCCAATTTTTTTTATGACGGACGAAAGTGTTATAAATGTGATTGACACAACATGAGGTTGTATTTATTTTTTAACATGTGAAAATTTCATATGAGAATTTCGGACTCGGTGTGCAAGGACCTATACACACACACTGATGCAACATATATATGTGTTTTTTTTCTCAACAATCCAATTTTGACCCTGTGCGACTTTTTTCCAGAAAGTATGGTAAACACTTCTTAGGTGACAAGTCAAGAGTTTAAAACTGAATGCACGGTTTCATTCCACCACACTGCTTTTCTATAGTTTTTCTGCATAAACAGATGGATGTGTTTCACTCTTGCATTCGCGTATCGCATCTTTTGCAGCTTTTCGTACAGGGCACAGCATTCTAGAAATGCAGGGCTCAAGTTCAATACAAGTTATATACAAGGGATAGTTCACACAAAAATGAAAATTCTATCAGCATCTATCACTCATTGCATTCTAAAAGTCAATTCCTATATGACTTTGGAACATGAAAGAAGACATTGATGGTAGCCAAATAGTTTTGGTTCCCATTGACTTCCATTGTATTTTTTGTCCATACATTGTTTGGTTACCAACATTCTTCAAAATATCTTCATTCATGTTGTACAGAGGAAACAAATGCATACAGGTTTGAAATGACTTAAAGGTGAGGTAACAATGACAGAGTTTTCATTTTTGGGAGTCCCTTTAAACTCTTAAAAAGCATATCTCTATTGAGAGGGGGAACTATGACGTCAGAAACCGGAAGAGTAATTTGCCGCGGGCTCCTTCGAGATTTTCCTATGGGGTTTTATAATGACACTTTTCAATTTATGTGGTAAACATATCTTGACGATACTTTTACATTTTCTTCTACAACGTAATCAGCACACACTCACATCCAAAACATTCTTATCTAGTTACTTATTAAAAACATACGTTTTCAAAAACGAACAGCTTCAAAATGTGTGTTTTGGGTATGGATGCGTGTAATTTACATTTTAGAACAAAACGTAAAAGTATCGTCAAGTTAACCACAGGCTTTATTTTACTCATAAATTGAAAAACCCCATTATAAAACCCAATAGGAAAATCATAGTTCCCCCACTCTATATCATGTTTTTTTTTCCCCATTTCATTCCAAGACCCTGCATTTTGCAATTTCAAACACAAAAATGGACTGAATAATACAAAAGGTTTGCTTTAATGTGTAAATAGGGCAATTTAGGGTAATGTGGGCCATCTGAGGTCTCACGCGTCAAATGAGGAAATCAAAACAAAGTTAAATTAGATACTTAACAATAACATTATTTTAAACAAGATGCTGAAGCATGTCAACTGAAATATTGTGTACCTTAATGAGATAGCGTGTAATGTCCCGTCCTGCAATGTCCAGTCTCCTTGTAAGATGGGGCAGAGAGAAGCCCTCATACACAGGACAAATATGGGTGACTCCGTCGCCTGAATCCACCACCACCCCTGTCAACAGGCCTGGGTGTAGCACAACACACAAATACTGATACAACGTCTGAAATAAGTGACGCACTGATAGTTGACACACTAGCTACAATAAAATGTTTGTGGATAAACAGTGGATAACTCACCTTGAGCATAAAGTGTAAGAACAGCCTGGATGGCGATGTAAACACCTGCAAACTGGTATGTCTCAAACATGACCTAAAGGACAGTGGGACATATTAAGAAAAATCATTATAATAACACCAGACCCCCTATTAGCCCAGTTCAAAAAGAATTTCCTTTCTGAATAGTTCTGCTGCTCATCACAGATGTATGTATATCAGCTATTTTAAACACTGTCAAAAAAACTATTTATCCAGTTTCAATGCATAAGTGTTGGATTTGCTCTGAATGTGTGAAACTTCATTCATACAGCCACTATAGCTAAAAAGAAGCAGTAAACGGTAAAACTATTTGAGCTACAAACCAGTGTAATGATTACAATAATACATTAAAATAATATAATATGATAACAAATACCAGTTTGCAACATTAAGCAGCATAACAGACTATTTTTGTACAGCTAAAAATAACTGGAAGCCCCATACATTCAAGTTATAAAAAAATGAACTTCTACCCACTATGATGCACCGTTAATAGACAAATAGACAAAAGGCTTTTTCCTCACCATGTCTGAAGTGACAATGACAAAAACATAAAATACAGTACTGTTCAAAAGTTTCTGTAAGATTTTTTAAATGTTTTTGAAAAAGTCTCTTATGCTTACCAAGGCTGCATTCATTTGATAAAAAATAGAGTGAAAAAAGTAACGTTGTGAAATAACCGTTTTCTATTTGAATAAAATGTAATGTATTCCTGTGATGCAAAGCTGAATTTTCAGCATCATTTACATGATCCTTCAGAAATCATTCTAACATGCTGATTTGCTGCTCAAGAAGCATTTATTATTTATATCATTGTTAAAAACAGTTATGCTGCTTAATAATTTGAGTGGAAACCGTGATACAGGATTCTTAGATTTTTCATGATTCTTTGATGAATAGAATGTTCAAAAGAACAGCAATTATTTGAAACAGAAATGTTTTGTAACGACGTCAAAATACATCCTTGTTGAATAAAACTAGGATGTAACTAGATTATTTTTAAGACTACTCAGTAAAAATCTTCCTGATCCCAAACTTTTGAATGGTAGTGTATATTGTCCAAACTATTGGGAGGCTCGGCCAAACTTGTGTCATACTAATTTCCAGATCAGATACTTAAATTACCTTTTAAGTTACGTTTTGAATCTGGATAGATTTCACACTAAAATAGGTAATTTTGCACTACGGTAATAAGAAACTCGTGCAAATCACCATTATAGCAATATAATACAAACTTAGGAGGGTAGGCTTTATTTGACTGTATGGAAAGTAAAGTATATATATTTTTTATTTATATTTGAATTATGTGGTGAAATGCACCTTGGAGTGATTGACATGAATGGTCTGATTACACACCTCTATGATCTTCTCACGGTTCTTGGTTGGGTTCATGGGAGGTTCTGTGAGGAGGATCTTGCAGTTGCGCGAGTTGATATTGAGCTTCTCCGGACCGAAGGTGTAATCCCATAAGTGCTTCATGTCATCCCAGTTCCTGACGATGCCGTTCTCCATGGGATAGTTGACCTCCAGCATTGAGCGCAGCTCACTCGCTTCGTCTCCCACCATCAGATCCTGAGCAATCACAGGTCACAGGTTAGAAAAACCACTTCACCTCATGATGACGAAACCTGAGGTCAGTATCCACCAAAAAAATTTCAATGTGGCAGCCCAGCATCAGCATTTCCACAACAGATGCACGGTACCGGGAATCTCTCGTCCCAGATTTGCCACATTCTGTGCGGAGTTACAGTATGAGGCACGAGGAAGCCTCATGTTAAGGTTCATGGAGAGCTTGAGCACAGTAAACATGGCCGCCGGGGTGAGATGAGCGTATGGACAGATGCTGCGCTCGTTCACTAGAACCAGCATGCATCCATGCACAACGTGTTAAGTCATTTTCATTCACAGGCTTCTCTGCTCACAGTTTTAGCATTGACTTTAAGACCCATTTACAATAAAGACCGTAATTACAGCGTCACCATTTTTCTCAGTAAATATATTTCTAAAGGTGCCGTTGACATGAAATTTTCACCAGATGTCGGTAACAACCCAAGTAATCCATACATACAAAGAAAACAAAACAAATAAGTTCAGAAATTAAGTTCTTTGTAATAAAATGGAATGACCCAGGGGAAAAGTATTGAACACGCTTACTGAAATGTATTTAATACTTCGTACAAAAGCCTTTGTTGGTCATGACAGCTTCAAGATGCCTCCTGTATGGAGAAACTAGTCTCATGCATTGCTCAGGTGTGATTTTGGCCCATTCTTCCACACAGTCTTCAAATCTTGAAGGTTCTGTGGGCCTCTTCTATGAACTCTGATCTTTCGTTCTAATTTTCTATTGGATTCAGGTCAGGTGATTGGCTGGGCCATTCTAGCAGCTTTACTTTCTTTCTCTGAAAGCAGTTGAGAGTTTCCTTGGCTGTGTTTGGGATCATTGTCTTGCTGAATTGTCCACCCTTGTTTCATCTTCATCATCCTGGTACTGTAGGTGTTGGGACTGAACCAGCTAATATTAATTTCCACTGACTAGGGGCAGGATTGCTTTCTAATTACTGATAGATTTCAGCGGGTGTCTTGGCTTTTCATGCCTTTTTGCACCTCCCTTTCTTCATGTGTTCAATACTTTTTCTCTGTGTCATTCCATTTTATTACACAGAACTTAATTTCTGAACTTATTTGTTTTGTTTTCTTTGTATGTATGGATTACTTGGGTTGTTAACGACATCTGGTGAAAATTTCAAGTCAACAGCACCTTTAGAAATATATTTACTGAGAAATATGGTGAAGTGCTCAATACTTATTTTACCCGCTGTATATCGATAATTATAAAGTTTTAATAATCATTCTAATTACATGAGAATAGGGATATCCATATTACAACTATATCAATAGCGACACAGAAGAACGATATAATTTGAATAACTTTTTTTTCCAGTTGATGAACGATAACAAAATGAAGAGCCAATCAGAATCCACCTACGTTTAAAGAGCTCATGCATTTAAAGCAGCAGACAACAAAACTGCAGAGTATTTTTGAATAAACACGTTTACAGATAACAAATTGGGGCAAAAGTTGTGTAGTGTATTTCAGCCTTTAGTTTATTCTTTGGTAACAGTTATGCTATTGCTAATACCTCTAATAACTAACTAGCAAGGCCCCGAATGAAGAACCGGATGTTAATTGTACAGATTATCACGTGTGCACAAATACCAAAACAGGCAAAGATCAGAAACCGAGAAAACAGACAAGGCAAGGCAGCTAACGAGGGCTCTGTAGAGTAGCTATTACTGCTGGCGATAAGCGCATACAATACTCGGCCGTTAGAAAGGAGTGAGAATGAGTGTTAAATAGTGAGTGAGTGTAACATATCAAATGTTGAAAGTGAGACATTTTGAAATGTCATGCCAAATATTCGCTCATTTTGGATTTCATGACCGCTACACATTCCAAAAAAGTTGGGACAGTTAGCAATAAGAGGCCGGAAAAGTTAAATGTACATATAAGGAACAGCTGGAGGACCAATTTGCAACTTATTAGGTCAATTGGCAACATGATTGGGTATAAAAAGAGCCTCTCAGAGTGGCAGTGTCTCTCAGAAGTCAAGATGGGCAGAGGATCACCAATTCCCCCAATGCTGCGGCGAAAAATTGTGGAGCAATATCAGAAAGGAGTTTCTCAGAGAAAAATTGCAAAGAGTTTGAAGTTATCATCATCTACAGTGCATAATATCATCCAAAGATTCAGAGAATCTGGAACAATCTCTGTGCGTAAGGGTCAAGGCCGGAAAACCATACTGGATGCCCGTGATCTTCGGGCCCTTAGACGGCACTGCATCACATACAGGAATGCTACTGTAATGGAAATCACAACATGGGCTCAGGAATACTTCCAGAAAACATTGTCGGTGAACACAATCCACCGTGCCATTCGCCGTTGCCGGCTAAAACTCTATAGGTCAAAAAAGAAGCCATATCTAAATATGATCCAGAAGCGCAGGTGTTTTCTCTGGGCCAAGGCTCATTTAAAATGGACTGTGGCAAAGTGGAAAACTGTTCTGTGGTCAGACGAATCAAAATTTTAAGTTCTTTTTGGAAAACTGGGACGCCATGTCATCCGGACTAAAGAGGACAAGGACAACCCAAGTTGTTATCAGTGCTCAGTTCAGAAGCCTGCATGTCTGATGGTATGGGGTTGCATGAGTGCGTGCAGCTTACACATCTGGAAAGGCACCATCAATGCTGAAAGGTATATCCAAGTTCTAGAACAACATATGCTCCCATCCAGATGTCGTCTCTTTCAGGGAAGACCTTGCATTTTCCAACATGACAATGCCAGACCACATACTGCATCAATTACAACATCATGGCTGTGTAGAAGAAGGTTCCGGGTACTGAAATGGCCAGCCTGCAGTCCAGATCTTTCACCCATAGAAAACATTTGGCGCATCATAAATAGGAAGATGCGACAAAGAAGACTTAAGACAGCTGAGCAACTAGAAGCCTGTATTAGACAAGAATGGGACAACATTCCTATTCCTAAACTTGAGCAACTTGTCTCCTCAGTCCCCAGACGTTTGCAGACTGTTATAAAAAGAAGAGGGGATGCCACACAGTGGTAAACATGGCCTTGTCCCAACTTTTTTGAGATGTGTTGATGCCATGAAATTTAAAATCAACTTATTTTTCCCTTAAAATGATACATTTTCTCAGTTTAAACATTTGATATGTCATCTATGTTGTATTCTGAATAAAATATTGAAATTTGAAACTTCCACATCATTGCATTCTGTTTTTATTCACAATTTGTACAGTGTCCCAACTTTTTTGGAATCGGGTTTGTAGATTGATTCTGTCCAAATTAACTCAAACTGTTAGTTTTAGTGAACCAATTCAAAATGTTTTGTTTATCCATGGCATTTTAGATATTCAAATTTTTTTATAAAAATATATTTAAGTAACTCTTGCTGTGTGTTTGTTATTGTATGATGCATAAATAAATAAATACACACATAAATAAATCTCCTTGGAAGCGTTTGAGAGAGGCGGGGCATAGAGGACCTACAATAATGTACAGTATTTGAAAAATAATGTGTTTTTTGAACATTAAAGCATGTCAACATATTCTGTTACACCAAATACACAAAATAATGATCTTTAAAAAAGCATCATATGACCCCTTTAAGCCATTTTAGAGCAAATGCATAAATAGAATTGTATGTCTATATTGAATATTGTGTATACTGTATATTATATTGTTTTGGCTATATCACCCAGTCCTGGTTATAAGGAATGAGATACTCCACAAAATAAAAGAAATCAAATCATGAACACCTGAATGGTGCAACACACTCTCCTCAGCAGGCGATCAGTGTTAAACAAAACACACGTCAGGCTGCACTTACCATTTTTTTGTTATTCTACTTCATGTGAAGAACAAGGAAAGAATGTAAGTATAAAAAAAGTTAAAACAGGAGAGAATGAAGGCTTACTTTAAAACAACTAAGCTAAATATGTTTCACAAATTAACTTTGATAACCCATCAATAGACAGAGTAGTATTCAGAAAAGGCCACAACAAACTCCAAATGGATCATCTGAGCGGCCAGAAAGTCGAGGTTGAGTGCGGAGCTCACCTTAATCTCAATGTTGCCCACTTTAGCTGTGGAGCGGATGATGGGCCTGCCCACCAGTGCTGGGAAGATGTGCTCTGGGAAGTTGGATCCGGCATAGCCACACTTGACAAACTAAATGATTGAGAGGGAGAGAGAGAGAAAAGTAATGTGTAAAGTAATACTGTGTTCATCATCCTCTAATTCTTTAAACAGGAGAGCCAACAAGACAGCAAAACAAAACTTAATTTTTGACTCCATGTTGATAATTGGCCATTGTTATGGTTCGCTGGTGCAGAGGTTATGATGTATTTATTAATAGGGTTCCCACACCTTTTGATAAAAAAAAATTCTTTGACTTTTACAAGTGTTTATGATTACCAGATAAAAGTATCAATTAGATTGCACTCACAAATAGCAGTCTATTAAATATTTTATAGATGAGCATAATTAGAAAAACGCCTTATTTGGGGGGAGGGGAACTTTTCAATAACCCTGTAAGATTTAGTTAATTAACATGACTTTTCAATGCCTGGAAATCACCATTTTAACATTTCCTCATATGTACAAGTTTTTAATAAGAATGCGATAATACACAAATGGGTTAGGCTATAAAGATATAAAATAATCAAATAGAGAAGTTAGCATCACCCTGGTTTCCTTTAAGAAAAATCATAATAGATTTTTATCCGATTTTTCACAGATTTATGTATAAATAACCTCCAACAAATGTTTATTATTCTTACATATTTTGTGCACAGGTCATAATTTTTCAAGGCTGATTCTGATTGACGATTTTTTTTTTTTACAAGCAATTGGGCTGATTCTAATATACGATTGCCATTGTTTAAGCAAATCTATTTGTTGATTATTTGCTCTTTTAAGGTCGAACTGGCCATAAACAATAAAATATATGTAGCCACTTAAATTAGAGGTAACCACTGCATTTTAATCACAATCCAAACAAAGACGCTGCACACATTTAGCATGAGCGTCTATTCTCTCCTGCTTCACTTGTGTCCAGTGTCTGGCCTCTGTTATTGTCCTGTTTACAGATTCCATAATATTTCCACACGAATGGCATTTTAGTAAATGATTGCAATGCAGTTTGTGTGCAAGTTCGGAACAGATATCGGCCAAAATAAAACATCCAGCTCCTATTATTTGCCGGTCGACCAGTGCATCTGTATTGTTCCTCATGATAATCTTCACGAATGAACACAACTTTTATTAAGTCTAAATGCAATTGGCAGATGTAAAAAAGCTCAAATCATAGGCTAAAAGGAAATATACGATGGTCGCATGACTTCAGTATCACCACCGCCACAAAGTTTCTGACAACTCTTTATTTCCAATCTAAACGGTGGAAAGTTTGAGGTAGACCGCAAGAGCATGAGTATAAACACAATACGTTTGTAAAGCAAAATAATGAGTCGATGAGTTTTCCTGCTCAGCGTGATGAAGTTTAATGTCACCAACAGCCTCTGTAGTAGGGCTGCACGATTAATCGAATGCGATTGTCATGCGCATTTTGTTGGTAAAGCCTGTTCTGTAATCAGCAGGAAACCATCATCACGTGCTTTCAGATGGAGCAGCATTTACTACACATAGCCGTAGTTCACTGACAAGTTACGCAAAAAATGCGATTTATCGTGCAGCCCTACTCCGAACTCACTTCATAACATCAGTAGAGTGTTTGAAATAAATCCTTCTGTGAGATGATGGTGACTTCTTACACAGAATAAGGCATGCAACATATTTCATAGTATTCTAAGCAGTGATAAAGGCATTGCATTATAAATATACTTTATTTGAATGAAAATTATAATAATAAGAACTCCGATAAACCGTATATTGCCGTAGTCGTGTGTTTATTAGTCACGTTGAATCAATGAAAGCAGTTGAATCTTCTGTTTATTCAGCTGTATTTGGAGCTTCAGCAAGAGAGCGCCCTCTGGCCTCCGGATGGAGATTTACTGCTGATCACAGAACCGTGCTTCACTGAAAGATACGCATGACAATCACAGCTTCTGTCGAATCGCGATCTCGATTCCATTTCGATTTATCGTGCAGCCCTACTCTGTAAGACACTTTAAGGTAAGGGTAAGGGTTTTAAGACACTTATAAGTTTAAGTGTGGTAAAAAAAATAATACTAATAATAAAATAAAAATAACAAATAAGTGGGGCACTACTGATTAATTTTATGCTGTAGTATAAAATGTGAAAATATCTTGGGCTTGTGTTAACCACACACCTTATTTCAGGCCTACAACGAATTTCCGTGTTTTAGGTCTCATTTCTGTGGCATTCTATAGTTCATTTAGAGGTCTGCACATTTTTATAAATGTGTTTTTAATTCGTTTCTTGACTTAATTCAGGCTCACCAGACTTGCAACAACAAATCAATGTGAACGTAATGAAGCGATTGATCTGTTAAACTACAACTAAACAACTGACTTATTGAGAACATACTATATTGTTTAAGATGTTTAACGGTAATTCTCCATCCAAAGCTAGAGCCGTAGCCAAGCAAAATATTCAGAACAGACTGGTTTCATCCTTCAATGACAGCTTGCTCTATGAATCAATCATCCCCAACAAATACTCGTTTGCATTAAACTCAATAAATTGTTTCTCATATCCCTCAGCATATTCCAAAAATGGTCTGAAGGCTTTCAGGCTCATTTATTGGTCATCGGACAAAGTAGAGATGCTTTCTCTGAGCAAGCTGTGGTTTTAACAGGTGACATCACTTCCTTCTGAGCCTGACTCAAGGCTCTCTGCTTCATTGGCTGTCCTGACCTAAAAAATGCTGCTATTTACTAAAAACACACTAATATTCCTGAGCCACAATTATTTCCAGATTCCAGAGTTAAAAACCTGCCCAGGTCACCCACTAGCCAAACATGACGTGAAATGGCAGGACAGATGGGACATGGATAATAGTGGAAGGAAATATTATAGTATACCGAAATTTATCAACGCACGGGGTGTGAATGGAAGGAATAGAAGGGAGGAGTCAGTTCTAACCAGGCTGAGGTTTGACCACACAGGGTTAAATAAAACATTGTTTTTGTTAGGTAAAAGTCAATCAGATGAATGTATGGAATGTAAAATCACAGAAGATGCAGAACATATATTGTTACATTGTAGGAAGTATAGGGAAGAGAGGATTCGATTAAACCAAAAGATAAGCCAGACAGGAAGAAAATGGAGCCTTGAGGGTGTTTTGGGAACAACAGGAGAGAAGGGGTTAAAGATGCACAGGATGCTGTTGTGGAATATCTGAAGGATACAGGGGTATATTATAGGATTTAGATAGTAGTGCTATAATATTTATATATATATATAATGTAAAGTGCATTCACTGAGATATAATCCATGCTGCATACTCCGATACAGTAGGTGGCGGTATGCACCTGATATGTCATGGTTGCAATCCGCCATAAAACTAACAAGAAGAAGAAGAATGCATAATGACTTACTCTTCTCATCTACAAAGATGAAACTCGATTTACACTCGAAGTAACACCACCCGGTGCTTGCAATATATGCAAAGCGTTATCAAAGCAAGTGGATGATTTCACAACAGGCAGCATTCATAGATCAACTGTAACCATAGCGACGCAAAATTCATTTTAATAGTCTATTTTGGTAGCTGAATGACTGGAGCAAGCCAAGACCCTGCTAGCTGCAGAACTTGCAACTCGGTGTATGCTCATGCAACCGACCCATAAACGAAATATTTACTTGTGCCACTGTATTTATATTATCATATCGCGATATATCAGGATAATATAACCAAACCAAGCCACATTTAGCAGGAACTGTGCATGCTGTTAGCGTCTAATGCAGTCTGTGGAATAAGTAAACGCTGATTTTTAAACAGGATAAATATAGAACATAAATCACTTTAGAGTCGGGTAAGACAGAGATCTCAGTAGAGAAGAATATGAGGGCAGCTGTCAGACATTCCTTACAGATGCGCTAAGCGTTCGTGACTTCCTGTTAGTGGTCTGTCTGCCTCACCAGAAATAAATATGTCAGGTGTTAGAGTTGCGGACGTACCCCTGTTCCGTTATCACAAACCACCACCTTTCTTCCTTGGCTGTCCATCTTTCAAAGCCCCGGGGCCGTCAAACGCAGCTTTCTGAACACAGTGCTTCAAGCACTCACTCAGCAGTAGCAGGATTCACTTCCTGATCCAGACAGAGACGCTCGCGAAAGCGGATCAGCCCGTTGTTTCACAAGCCCCGCCTCCCGCGTTCTGATTGGCTGATAAGACTTCCATGCGGTCTGCGATTGGACAGTTAGGGAGTCAGTCATGGAGACTTCACTGCAGTAAACACATTTCCCTTAATCTGTCGATTATTTTCTATAATATTTTGTCATCAATCAATAGTTTCAATAATTTGTAACTTCTAATCTATAGGTACAGTAGAAAAATACAAAAAAATTCAAAATATTTGTGAATTTCTTGAATTGGTTGAATCTTTATTTGACCCTCTAACTCCATCACTCCCTATTCTAATTCTATTTTATCTATTTGTTTTACTCTTTAAGACTCTATTTGCTTTCTTTTGTTTTCTGCTTGTTTTCTTTAAAAAAAGGCTTCTAACACTAACTTTCTCTCTATTCTTTTTCTATTCTATCTATTTATTTTCTTTATATATATATGTGTGTGTGTATGTATATATATATGTGTGTGTGTGTGTGTGTGTGTGTATATATATATATGTGTGTGTGTGTGTGTGTGTGTGTGTGTGTGTGTGTGTGTGTATGTATATATGTGTGTGTGTGTGTGTGTGTGCGCATGTATGTACAGTGGGGAAAAAAAAAATATTTAATCAGCCACCAATTGTGTGTGTGTGTGTGTATGTGTATATATATATATATATAATTCCTTGCTACGTTTACTGCGTTGGGCAAACTGACACTTGTCATAGCACTTGCATATTGTTGCTCTTTTGTTGATTTTGATTGCTTCCATTGTCTTCATTTGTAAGTTGCTTTGGATAAAAGCATCTGCTAAATGACTAAATGTAAATGTAAGATATTAAATAATAATATTAATCTTAAATAATTCATCAGGATGCTCCATGGCTTTAAGTAGAAGACACAAGAAGACATTACCAGACATTCATTGTTTCACTTTAAAAGACATTAACAAATGACATAAGGAAATGGGAGTGCAAACAACATTTATTAAAAAAAAACTTCAATGAAAGAAAAAAAATCCTTAATAAATAATTGATTAATAAATTAATAAATAGTTATGTCTCTTCAATGAATTATTCAAACACACAACAAATAGTTCCTATAATTTAAGTATAAATTGTTCCAATTAAAAGTACATCAAATATAAACAAGAAAGTGATTAAAAATGAAATCTTGTTTTCAATATAAAATCTTTAAATGTATATATGATTACAGTGTGTGATTCACAGGGCTGTGTGTGTTGTGGTCGGAACGCTTCCTCGCGTTCTTAGTTTCCGGTCGGACTGTGACGCTCTTTCCGCAGCAGAACATCAACATGGCAGCGGTTCTTTCACCGAGACCGTGCGATAGCAATCCCGCGACTCCTGGGACGCAGTCTGTGAAGGTTTGTGGCTGCTCAGGGTTTCATCTTGTTGCACAGACAACAGTTATAGCATTGTATCTGCGTCTATGTCAACTGCGTCTATAACAGCGCGAATGTGAGCAACAGTCGTCTTTGTTTATTTACTATTAGCCTGCTAGCCGATGGAGCTAAAGACATAGATGAACAGACGATGCTCAGAGAAATGATGCTTTTAAAACAAATGAATGCATATGAACGGAACCCAGCTGTCTTCCTAGCTGTTGTTAGACAGTCATTGGTACTTTTCAAGGCCTCATAGTATGATTGTATGGGCTTCAGACCAAGGTAGCCCTTCTGAACATAATATCACTCAATCCAGATTGAAAAATCCTTATCGGAATCATGTTTCTGACTCTCCAAACAGGATGACATTGAGGAGAACTCCAGTGATGGCAGTCAAGCCCCCAAGAGACGCAGGATGGGGTCAGGGGACAGCTCCAGGAGCTGTGACACGTCCAGCCATGAGCTGGGGTGAGAGCTCATTACACACACTCTTACTCTCTCTATTGTGCCATGCTGATCTGGAAATTCCTTTTAAGGGAAGACGCCTAGGGGAAAAACAAACTAGTAGATATCAACATACTACCCCAGATTACTTGGCTATATGCAAATGAGGTATTATCCATATATATATATAGTCAAATTTTTTTGTATGTCTATTTTTATCACTTCACTAATATATATAAATATATATATAATCGTGATAATAAACTTCTGATTCTAATAAGAAAGCACCCCTACTACAACAACTTCTGAAAGTGAACGGTAGTGTTTTACTTGAGCATTACATACAAATTTAATTTTAACATGAGTTTAGGAACTGAATAATAAAAAGGAAAAGTAAAACATTGCTTAGTATTTACTCTTTGAATTCAATATGCACTGATTCGTATTTAAGCTACAAAAGTTATTTAGGTAAGAGCAGTGAGTGATTTTCACTTTCTTTTGTTCATGGCCCCAAATATTGCAAGCTGTAGCGATATGCATATTGCGATATGTACATTTGCGATATTTCGATATATTGCACAGCCCTTATATATATATATATATATATATGCTCTAATTTGCGTAGTTTTTTGCAGAGTGGATTTTGTATGTCTATATTTATCACTTCATAAATCTGAAAATACTGTCAGCATGAAAAGGGAAAAATAAAATTGTACAAACTAAAGGGAAAACTGCAAGGGAAAGTGCAATGAATAAATAATAAAGTGGAATAAAAGAAACACTTAAAAGTGATTTGGAATATTTTCTTCCCACTAGTCTAAACGACACCAAAATCCCAAAACTGACCAGTGCTTTTTTATTTTTGCAATTTTTACAAGTGCAATTTATCTCAAAATATTTCTTACCAGTCTTTCTTATGTGTTTGTTGGTTTGTTTCATATATTAATTTCTATTATTTATTATAAATATTCCTTTCCCATGACAAGGAATTATGTAGCTGTTTTTCCTCGAACCATCATTTTTCACTCATGTAGCTTCTAGTATTTCTATGAATCCTCACCTGTCATCTGGGGCCGGCTGCATAAACCGTTTAGACTAGTCTTAAAAAGTTAGTCATCTAATTATTTTTCTTAAAGACTTGTCATAACTTTTAAAAGTCAGTTATAAAAAAGTAGATTGGTCTTATTTGTATTGAAAAGGTAAGACTGGTTTCCTCTTGGTAACTGCTTGTTGGTCAAACTACTTCTTTAGACACAATCTTAACATGGTGGCTAAGTTTATGCAACTGGCCTCTGTTGATGGCTTTATTGGCTGGCCAAAACTGTTTTTCACTCTTTACTCTGACACATTGAAACTTTTACTGTGTATAGAGCCGTTCTGTTTCATTACAGACCAACATACTTTCCTGCGGAGAATCTGACGGAATACAAGTGGCCTCCGGATGACACCGGGGAGTATTATATGTTACAAGAACAAGTGAGCGAGTATCTGGGAGTCACGTCATTCAAGCGGAAATATCCAGGTATGAACAATAATAAGCGCCTTAACTGTCTGCAGGGAAAACTGAATTGAGAGGTTTTCACGTTATTTGTCAAATAGTGGTTATATTCTACAGATTCAGTTACTAATGACAGAGATGAATTTTTGTATTGTACTTTTTTTTTCTTCTCAACTTCATACCAGATTTGGAAAGAAGAGACCTGTCTCACAAAGAAAAACTTTATCTGAGAGAGCAAAATGTCATTACGGAAACACAGTGTACTTTGGGTAAGAATTCAGTTTTTCTCAGTTCTGTGTCTTTTATATCTTGAATGTATAAAAAATAATTAATAATAACTTTGTAAAATTGAAAACTTGTAATTCTTACCCTGAAAATATGCGATGGCGTGTCTGTATACAAACTCAAATAGTTCACTTTTCCAACACAGTGGTTTAATTCATAATTTGCTCCACTTGGCATTTCTGTAGCTTGATTTATTGTACTAGTTGTAATAAGAAGTTGAGTGTATCAGCCTAAGACTAAATGCAAGATCCCTATAGCAAAGTTCCTCTCTTCTCCCCAGGTCTCACTGCTCTGCGCAGTGATGAAGTCATTGATTTGATGATTAAGGAGTATCCAGCCAAACATGCAGAGTACTCTGTCATACTCCAGGAGCGAGAGCGCCAGCGGATCACTAAGGAATACTCTGTGAGCACTCTTAGTGCGGTGAGTAACACACACTCTTTTATTTATTATAGAATGTGTATATTAATCTTATATGGGACTCTTGGCGCTCTTTTTTTTGTTGTTGTCCTTTTTCTCGATCAAATCTTTTAGTAATCATCATAAAGAAGCCCAAGATTCATCCTGTGAAAACCATATAGAAATCGGACATTGCGTTACCATGGAAATGGTACTTTACAATCTTGTGGTGGTCTCCTCCCCCTTAGTGGGCGGTGTCAAGTGACAATCAAAACTTTTTATAATCTTGACAAAAAACATATCATTGGAAAGGTCTGAGTCTCAGGATTCTGATTTTGAGATAGAAGTAATATCGACAGAGAAATCTAGACATTTGTGACCGAAAAATGCATTAAAATAATTAAATGGAGTTTGGATGGCATTTGTTTGTGGTATAACGCCCTAAATAAAATCTCACAGGAACCTCAATATTTTTCATATCAACTTCAAATTTGGAACATAACTGATTTAGATACGAGGCTTTAATTTTATACCAATTTCAGAGTAAAACCTGCTATGTAAAATATTTATTATATATAACGGGTTACCATGAAACCAGGGTCTTGTTCAGCGTCCTGGGGTGTTACAAAGTATTTGTGAAATCTAGCTAACAAAATATATATTGTGTGTTGGAGTGTTCCAGACGCTACACACATTACAAAATGCATTACGGTCTTTTACAATCAAAACTTTTTATAATCTTGACAAAAAACATATCATTGGAAAGGTCTGAGTCTCAGGATTCTGATTTTGAGATAGAAGTAATATCGACAGAGAAATCTAGACATTTGTGACCGAAAAATGCATTAAAATAATTAAATGGAGTTTGGATGGCATTTGTTTGTGGTATAACGCCCTAAATAAAATCTCACAGGAACCTCAATATTTTTCATATCAACTTCAAATTTGGAACATAACTGATTTAGATACGAGGCTTTAATTTTATACCAATTTCAGAGTAAAACCTGCTATGTAAAATATTTATTATATATAAAATAAAATTAGTATAGTGCATTTTCTTTACAGTAAATTTAAACTTTTTGATACTTTAATTTTTTTAAATGATTCCACTTTTGCAATAATCTGCTGATTTTTTTTCTCTAAAAAGAGACCAAAAGTATTCCAAAGTGTTCATAAATTACAACAATTTAAGTTTGGATAGTGCACTTTCATGCCTATTTAAAAAAAAAAATGGGGGGTGACGGTTAAGGGGTTAATTAATACTTTTATTCAGCAAAGATGCATTAAATTGATCAGAAGTGACTGTACGGTAAAGGCTGTTAAAAATGCTTTTTACAACTTTCTCAAAGAGTCCTGAAAACAATACCACAGTTTGCATAAAATATTAAACAGCACAGATGTTTTCAAAATTGATGATGATAATAATAATAATAAATGTTTATTGAGCAGCAAATCAGTTTATTAGAGTGATTTCTGAAGGATCATGTGACACTGAAGACTGGAGTGATGATGGTTAAAATCAACTTTGCATCACAGGAATAAATTAACATAAAATGTTGATAATGTTTGAAAACAATATTGATGTAATAATCTGAATAGGCTGAGTATTTTTTATTTTTTTTATAAAACAAATGCTTCAGTGATTTCTTTAAGGAAAGTCTGGTATATCCTTATATGCAGGGATAATGATAAATACTGGTTGTTCTTTGCTAAAAGTCTGTGAGTGCTAATGAACTGACTGTTTTCTTTCTAGCAAATGCAGCAACAGAATCCTCAAAAAGTTGAAGCCAGTAAAGTGCCCGAGTACATAAAGAAAGCAGCGAAAAAAGCTGCTGAATTCAACAGTAATTTCAACCGAGAGCGGATGGAGGAGAGGAGGGCTTATTTTGACCTTCAAACACATGTAGGATATGCTCATATTCTTTCATCTAATAATCTGATTGTGTACTGAGGTGTGTAAAATGCATAGAAAACCACCCAGAAAACCCAGGGACCTTCCTAACAATAGCCTGGCAACACCCTAGCAATGAGTCTGTTAGCACTATATTTCATGTTGGCACAATTTTGAAAACATGCTCTTTTTTTTTTTCTAGGTCTCATTGCTTGTTTGCATTTTCTCTTTTACCTGTAGATTATTCAAGTACCTCAAGGAAGATACAAAGTCCTCCCTCCAGAGAGGACCAAGACCGGTCCATACCCAGTTGCCCTCATTCCTGGCCAGTTCCAAGAGTACTACAAAAGGTGAATTTCCTGCTGAGCTTCTGATTTACCGGTTTATGATTTACTGTAGCCACCAGTGTACTTGAGAACGACGAACGCCTTGAATTCGTTCAGCACTCTGACTGGGTTGTTCTTGCCCATCCACATTTGTAGGTACTCTCCAAATGAGCTCCGCTACTTGCCTTTGAACACCGCTCTATACGAGCCTCCACTGGACCCAGAGCTGCCTGCCCCGGACAGTGATGGTGATTCTGATGATGGTGAGGATGGTAAAGAAGACGGCAAAAAAAATAAAGGTTCCTCAGTAAGTTGATAAAACTTCACAGTTTATTTTTTTCACTCTTTTACATTTGGACAACTGTAAAGCCAGGTGTTTGCTTTAAAGATATCAAATGCAATTTATTGCCTCAAAAGCAATCGAGTTGAATATTGATTTGATTTATTTTATTATTGTTGTTTTTTTTATGCAATCTGGCATGTTTCCAATTGAAACACGATATTCAGTGGGGGCAAAATTGAATTTATTTTTAATCTATTTATTTAGTTGTTGGAATAACATGCATGAATGACAAGGAAAGTGTATTAAGAAAGTACATGGGGTCCGTTTTAATTTCGTTCGCTATAAAGTGACCCCAAAACAACGTTTACAGTACCTTCTGCTTTCGTAATCATTTCCAAAATCCGAAGTGATATTTAAAGAGAAACAATGTAGGCTGGGACATGCATTATTAGTGTTAGCTAAAACTATTAAAACTGTTGATAACACTTTATTTTAAGGACAGATTCTCACTATTAACTAGTTGCTTATTGGCATTCATATTAGCTATTTATTAGTACTTATAAAGCACAAATTAAATGCTTTATTCTGCATGACCATATTTTAGATCACTTAATCCACCCCATACCTAAACTTAACATGCACTACGTAATACATGGTACATAATAACAAGGTGTTATCATAAATGAACAATTATTATTAACTAGCAACTTTATTTACGCGATATGTGTACTGCTAGACAATTTCCTCTTTTTTGTGTAATTCAGAGTAAAATGAGTGCCTTTTTATCATTTGAGTCACAGTTGCTAAAAGTTGCCAAATAAATTGTAAAAATTGCTAAATTTGTTGCTAGGTGCTTTTTGAAGAAAATGTTGCTAGGGTAGTCTGAAAAGTTGCTAAATCTAGCAGCAAAATTGCTAAGTTGGCAACACTGGGCAAAACCCGGCAGCGCATATATTTGCTGGCAACCCACCAAAATAAAAGCTTGCTGATTTCAAGTTGTAAAAGTGAAAATTATGAAAATTCATATTTAAAAAAAAAAAAAAAAGTAAATATTAGCATTTATTTTTTTAAGCTTACTATAAAATAATTGTATTTTAATTTAATACTCAATTTTTACTCCCTAAATATAATAGTATTATCACATTTTATTATTTTGTAACTATTTTATTTAAAAAAAAACAATAAATAGCTGCAATCATTTTTGTATCGTTATTATTTAGTGCTGTCAAACGATTATTTGCGATTAATCACATCCAAAATACAAGTTTTTGTTTACATAATGTATGTGTGTACTGTGTATATTTATTATGCATATATAAATACACACATATACAGTATATAGTTTGAAAATATTTACATGTGTATATTTATTCATATAATTTATATTATATATGTATAAATATATTTCATATATTAACATATTTTTCTTAAATATATGCATGCATGTGTGTGTATTTATATATACATAATAAATTTACACAGTACACACACAGATATTATGTACACAAAAACTTTTATTCTGGATGCGATTAATCACGATTATTCGTTTGACAGCCCTACTATTATTAATATAATTTTTTTATAGTTATATTTAATGGGTCACACTATGTTCACTGGGAGGAGCAAACCAAATCTCCAGCAGACCCCGGCTGAAAAACTTATGTGCACCCCTGATTATAAATAACATTACAACTCGCAGATAATAGGAAGTGTATTAAATTAATTTTTATGTCATGTTTACTTTCAGGACAGTTCATCAGGAAACACTTCGGATGGAGACAGCCAAGACAGCGCAATTCAATCCAAAGTCAAGAGCAAAGATGGCACTCCTCGCACCATCCAACACAAATCTGTCCCTGGGTACAAGGTAGAAGAAAAAAGCCCCTGATCTTTTTTTAAAATAACCCAACACCTCTCTTCTCCCCTTTTCGCCACCCCTCTTTTCCAGCACTTTCAGCAGAGAAGTCCTCTTTCTTCTGACTTGATCATCAATCAGTACATGGTCCAAACACACACACACACACACACACACACACACCTGGTGGTCATAGATCGGGACTGCATGTGTCAATGGAACTTCTTTTTTCGTTTGAAGAACGGCACCCATTTTTTCAGTGCCAGGAAACCCAGTGACAGTTCCTGTGTTCTGCACAAACCTTTGGAGCAATAACGTTTTTGTGTGGTACTGCCGTTAGTTTTTTTTTGTTTGTTTTTGCTGTGTGATGCGCTTGTGAATATATACATAATAAATTTACACAGTACACACACAGATATTATGTACACAAAAACTTTTATTCTGGATGCGATTAATCACGATTATTCGTTTGACAGCCCTACTTTTATTAATATAATTTTTTTATAGTTATATTTAATGGGTCACACTATGTTCACTGGGAGGAGCAAACCAAATCTCCAGCAGACCCCGGCTGAAAAACTTATGTGCACCCCTGATTATAAATAACATTACAACTCGCAGATAATAGGAAGTGTATTAAATTAATTTTTATGTCATGTTTACTTTCAGGACAGTTCATCAGGAAACACTTCGGATGGAGACAGCCAAGACAGCGCAATTCAATCCAAAGTCAAGAGCAAAGATGGCACTCCTCGCACCATCCAACACAAATCTGTCCCTGGGTACAAGGTAGAAGAAAAAAGCCCCTGATCTTTTTTTAAAATAACCCAACACCTCTCTTCTCCCCTTTTCGCCACCCCTCTTTTCCAGCACTTTCAGCAGAGAAGTCCTCTTTCTTCTGACTTGATCATCAATCAGTACATGGTCCAAACACACACACACACACACACACACACACACCTGGTGGTCATAGATCGGGACTGCATGTGTCAATGGAACTTCTTTTTTCGTTTGAAGAACGGCACCCATTTTTTCAGTGCCAGGAAACCCAGTGACAGTTCCTGTGTTCTGCACAAACCTTTGGAGCAATAACGTTTTTGTGTGGTACTGCCGTTAGTTTTTTTTTGTTTGTTTTTGCTGTGTGATGCGCTTGTGAAGGTAAATACCCTTATAAAATGAACCGTACTTAATATAGCTTAAAATACCTCTATTTATCTCTCTACCTGCCTGCTTGCCTGTCAGTTAAACTGAAGGGCATGCAAGCAATTTCATTTGGCTGCTAAACACAAAAAAAAAGTGTTAATAATCCGTAGATATGAAACAATTGAAGAAATATTAAGGGTGCACTCAGTAATGTTTTCCCTGGTTTACAAATGTATAGTCATAAGGAAAAAGAATCGAATAGGACTTTTGGAGAATGACTGATGCAGATTGCAGTCATGCCAGTCAAGTTATTTAATTCTGCGTTGAGCGGGTCACCCACTTATGGGTGCCGCAATGCTGAGATCACATGACCAGCTGGGTCTTGCAACCCAACCAAGTTACTAATAGCAATAAAAGAAGCACCAAGCACGTTCGCAGCGCTCAAGGCACATTTTCAAAGCTCTTTTCCATTAAGCAGCAGTAAGCCAATCTCCAAAAAGGATGAAAAAAATATGGATTAAAAAGGAATGAAATAAATTCACAAATAAACCGTCATATATTTGTTTTTTGAGACTCCTAACATATATTTGTGCATAGCATTCTATTTATTTGTGCATTGGTTTATTTTTTGTGAAACTTTTTTTATATTTATTTGTGAGTTCTAAACTATTTATTTGGAAATGCGCAACAATTCTGACCCCATTAAAACATCATAACAGGACCGTGCAAAGTTATGCCTTCATAAAACTTGAAATATAACTATTCCAAATATTGTAAAATGTCATTAATGCGCGCTTAGTCTTAAAGGGGTAGTTCACCCAAATTTCGACTCTCTGACTTTTGTGAAGCACAAAAGAAGATATTTTGAAGAATGTCGGTAGCCACAGTTTTGGTTACCATTGACTTCCATTGTGTGGACAGAAAAGTTAAAGTCATACAGGTCCGGTGAACTATTCCTTTAATATCGTTTAACTCTGCCTTTAACAGTTAAAGTAAACTTACTGAGTGCACTTTTAAAGTTCGCTTTATTTATCATGCTAGTGATGCATTACTCTCTTTCAGGCATGAAATGGTTATCAAACTATTGTTTGGTATAACATTGTCAAACTGAATATCAGTGGTTTTCTAAACTGACTCTCTGGGCACCTTAAATATGCTTGATATCTGTGTTTCCTTTGATTTAGTCTGATTAAATTGTGTAAGTTGCTTGTTTTCTTGTCAAAATGCTTACTGGATCAACAAAACGGTTTTACACATCACAAATGATCCACAATACAAAGCAAAATGTATACAAAGTGAATTACAACTACCAATAATTTGACAGTGTTATATAATGCAAGAAATTATTTAGCCCGCATATGCTTGCATTTTAAGATACATTTCTGCTTGCTTAAATTATGCTTCTTGCAATAGATACATTGTTTCTGACGGTTTTAATATTCTTGGTTGAAAAGGTTCATTTTTTTCTTGTGGAAGAAATGTTTGCATGATTTATTGGACCGTTTAAAGCAATTTTAAAATACTCCCCAGCTAAAGGCTCGTTTTAGCCCCATCATAGTTCTTATTAGTTTCCCCTGTAGTTCTGTTATCTCAGGAAGTGTGAGCGGTGTAAACTGTCCCAGGCTATTTTCTGAATAGCACACTACTACGAGTATGCATAGTTTTCTGTGCAGTACACTACAGTGCACATTGTGATGCCATTGCTTTATCCCACAATGCATTGCATTCTAACTGAATTCTAGAATGAAATGGAACTCTCTTTTTTTGTTTTTTTTACGCAAAATGGAATTTACCATTATTTTGCGATATGAGAACTGTACGGCACTCATGTAACTGTATAAGGTCATGTGACAACAGTGTCGCATACTACTGGTCGAAAACATTTTTTGTTGAATGTTGCATACTGTTTGACTTTTTTAAAGAGATGAATAGGCAGGGTTCTGAGCAGCCCCATTTATGTTTTCCCTTTTAACAATTAGTTCGCCTGTTCATTTCGCTTAAGGTGTTTTCTTTAGCAGTTCATTATCCTGTGTTTATGGGTAGAGAATATATCGTGCCGATAATTAGCTGAATATGGCCATGATATCAGTGAGGTGTGTGTTCTGGAAATTTGAAAACCTAGTTACACTTGAAACTAAATGATGAATGTTAATCTGATTTGAATGTGGTGTTTAAGTCATAAATCACTGCAGCACTTATGAAAGACGGTAGGTACAGCTTCTGTTGATCCTCTCACTGTACACTGTGTTGTTGGCTGATTTCCATCCCTCTTTTATGCAATCTCTCGAGTCGTGTTAAGAGTGTTTGTAGTTAAACAACATTCAATGTTCTTGTGTGTGTTTTTTTTGGATGTAATCCTACTGTGACAGAATTAAGGATTTTGTCCTTCCGTTAACATAACCGTGAGCTTCACTAACATCTAAATTTGTGAAGCACAAAAGAAGATATTTTGAAGAATGTCGGTAGCCACAGTTTTGGTTACCATTGACTTCCATTGTGTGGACAGAAAAGTTAAAGTCATACAGGTCCGGTGAACTATTCCTTTAATATCGTTTAACTCTGCCTTTAACAGTTAAAGTAAACTTACTGAGTGCACTTTTAAAGTTCGCTTTATTTATCATGCTAGTGATGCATTACTCTCTTTCAGGCATGAAATGGTTATCAAACTATTGTTTGGTATAACATTGTCAAACTGAATATCAGTGGTTTTCTAAACTGACTCTCTGGGCACCTTAAATATGCTTGATATCTGTGTTTCCTTTGATTTAGTCTGATTAAATTGTGTAAGTTGCTTGTTTTCTTGTCAAAATGCTTACTGGATCAACAAAACGGTTTTACACATCACAAATGATCCACAATACAAAGCAAAATGTATACAAAGTGAATTACAACTACCAATAATTTGACAGTGTTATATAATGCAAGAAATTATTTAGCCCGCATATGCTTGCATTTTAAGATACATTTCTGCTTGCTTAAATTATGCTTCTTGCAATAGATACATTGTTTCTGACGGTTTTAATATTCTTGGTTGAAAAGGTTCATTTTTTTCTTGTGGAAGAAATGTTTGCATGATTTATTGGACCGTTTAAAGCAATTTTAAAATACTCCCCAGCTAAAGGCTCGTTTTAGCCCCATCATAGTTCTTATTAGTTTCCCCTGTAGTTCTGTTATCTCAGGAAGTGTGAGCGGTGTAAACTGTCCCAGGCTATTTTCTGAATAGCACACTACTACGAGTATGCATAGTTTTCTGTGCAGTACACTACAGTGCACATTGTGATGCCATTGCTTTATCCCACAATGCATTGCATTCTAACTGAATTCTAGAATGAAATGGAACTCTCTTTTTTTGTTTTTTTTACGCAAAATGGAATTTACCATTATTTTGCGATATGAGAACTGTACGGCACTCATGTAACTGTATAAGGTCATGTGACAACAGTGTCGCATACTACTGGTCGAAAACATTTTTTGTTGAATGTTGCATACTGTTTGACTTTTTTAAAGAGATGAATAGGCAGGGTTCTGAGCAGCCCCATTTATGTTTTCCCTTTTAACAATTAGTTCGCCTGTTCATTTCGCTTAAGGTGTTTTCTTTAGCAGTTCATTATCCTGTGTTTATGGGTAGAGAATATATCGTGCCGATAATTAGCTGAATATGGCCATGATATCAGTGAGGTGTGTGTTCTGGAAATTTGAAAACCTAGTTACACTTGAAACAAAATGATGAATGTTAATCTGATTTGAATGTGGTGTTTAAGTCATAAATCACTGCAGCACTTATGAAAGACGGTAGGTACAGCTTCTGTTGATCCTCTCACTGTACACTGTGTTGTTGGCTGATTTCCATCCCTCTTTTATGCAATCTCTCGAGTCGTGTTAAGAGTGTTTGTAGTTAAACAACATTCAATGTTCTTGTGTGTGTTTTTTTTTGATGTAATCCTACTGTGACAGAATTAAGGATTTTGTCCTTCCGTTAACATAACCGTGAGCTTCACTAACATCTAAACGTGTCTTTATCCTGTAGCCTGGCCTGCCTCTTTACATTTTTAGTTTGTTTTTCCACAATGTTGTCACTGCTCTTTTCAGTTGAATGGTTTTTATGGTAGGGCCTTTGACATGTCAGTATTTAGAGTAACCTTTTGAATAAAGAGGTTTTAAAGAAATTAGACTGTAGAGATTTCTTAATGGCTGTGAGCACTGAATGAAAGTCTAAGTAGCGAAACTAACTTTTTGGGTGCTATTTAGATTTTTTTTTTTTGAGCTAATGGTATCATGGCGGAGGTGAACAAAGTACACAACTGTTAGTTGAGTGAAAGTGCAGATACTGCTGGTCAAATATTAAGTGAATGTTGTAAAGAAGACAGATTTGTACTTAAGAGGTACTTGCTTGTAAAAGTACTTAAAGGGATAGTTCACCCAAAAATGAAAATGCTGTCATTAATTACTCTCCCTCATGTCGTTCCAAACTTGTAAGACCTCCGTTCATCTTCGGAACACAAATGAAGATATTTTTGATGAATTGACTCTCTCATAGACAGCAAGGATCCTTACACGATCAAGGCTCAGAAACGTAGCAAGGAGATCGTTAAAATAATCCACATGACATCAGTGGTTCAACCGTAATTTTACAAAGCTATACGAGAATACTTTTTGTGCGCAAAGAAAACAAAAGTAATGACTCGATTCAACAATTTGTCATTGTTTGTTGTTTACGTTCATATCAAAGCGTAAACAACGTATCCGCGTATATACGTTGTTTACGTATGTGATGCTCTCCAAAATGTGAAGTGAAGTGAAGTGACGTGACGTGTTGCCAAGTATGTTTAAGTGTTGCCAAGACAACATAATTCCATACTCGGAATTAGTGCTCTGCATTTACCCATCCAAAGTGCACACACACAGCAGTGAACACACACACACCGTGAACACACACCCGGAGCAGTGGGCAGCCATTTATGCTGCGGCGCCCGGGGAGCAGTTGGGGTTCGGTGCCTTGCTCAAGGGCACCTCAGTCGTGGTATTGAAGGTGGGAGAGAGCGCTGTACATTCACTCCCCCCACCTACAATCCCTGCCGGTACGAGTTTTTTTTTTTTAATGATGCTTAAGGTAGCAGCTGTCACCTTTTAATTTAAATGTATTTATTTATTTATTAGGTGAGTGTTAAGTAGTTTTATTATAGTAGACTTTAAAAATATATAGTTTTATATTTTTTGCTAGTGAGTGTGAGGGAAAGTTGAAAATAAATGTGTCCCATCAAAGGGATATTTTTGAACAGTCCTAAAAGCCAGTATTCCATATTATTCTATTTATTTATTTATTTTCTTCTTCTTTCCTCTCACTCA